AAAGTATTGTCAAGAGTTGGGGTGTTTCCTTTATTCACTACTGTATACCTAGTGCCTGTTAAGGATCTTTCATATAGTAGGCACTCAAATATTTATTGAATGAATAGCGAATAAGTAAGCCTTGAGTTTTCCTAGCATAACCTATGCAGACTGTCCCCAATGCCTTGTCCAGCTCCAATAAACTTCAAATTGCTTAGATGAAACAACTCAAGTTCAACTCTTATTTGAGAGGGCTTGCCTCTTTCCTTCTCTGTAGGAAAGTTATAAGATCTGTGCTTCTTCTATGGATCACCGAATCTTGGTGGCACACGGTTAAGAGCTAAGGCTGTTAACCAAAAGGTCAGCAGTTTGATTCCACCAGCCGCTCCTTGGAAACTCTATGGGGCAGTTCTACTCTGTCCTATAGGGTTGCTATGAGTCAGAATTGACTTGACGGCAGGGAGTTATATACATATTAGAAGACCACCAGATAATTATGTTCCATAAGAAAGTCCAGAAGACATACCATTTACCAAGCCATCAGTAATGCACTGGTAAGAGGGGCCACAGAATCACTAAGAATTTCAGTAGTTGCATTTCTCTGTGGCCAAAGCTGACATTAAGAGAGATTGTCACAGAGCTTGGCTCGTTGATAGCAGTGGGAATGATGAGTCTCCAAAGTATTGGAGACTCAGGGGCAGCACAATACTGCCAGAAATGAGGGGGTTGCAATTACCATAACAACAGGCAATGCTGAAAGGACAGCCAAAGAGCTTGACCTGGAGGGAGTTGTGGAGATGGTTAATAGAACACTGCATCCCTACAGACAGAATTGATAGCCAGTGAGGTTGCTGCTTAATCTATACAATCAAAAGAAGACAAGAATGAATGAGCAGGAGGCCGACGTGGTCATCCCAGTAGTAAGCCGTGATCCTTTGCTCAAATCCTTCTCCCAAGCCAGTTTTCAGACCCAGAAACTATGGACTGAACCAGTGGCCAAGTCAACAAAAGAACCCTGAAATACGATGGCAATGATATACTGTATTAATTTTTCCCATTTTCCTTAAAAGAGGCCTCTGGTCATTTACATGAAAAAATATGCACTGGGGAAAGATATATTCAAGTATTTTGAGAGCATTGGGTCTGAATTAACATTGATACATAGGTTTCCAAAGTATCATGTTAGAGCGGAGTCAGGTAATAAACAGAATTTGGCAAAAGTCTGGCTTAAAATAGGTCCAGTAGGTCTGTGGACCCACTCATCCAATGGCCATTCTCCCACTCCCCAAGTGTACCATTGGGACTGACATGCTGAATTTGATGGTGATGTGGGGGGAGATGGCAGAAATTTGTGTTATCCTAAAAGATCTTAAGGACTCAAGGATGGTGTTCCATATCATAGTTCCATTTACTTCACCAGTCTAACCCCTGCAGCAACCAAATGAATCCTGGAGAATGACCGTAGACTACCACAAATTCAGCCAAGTAATAGCCCCAACTGTGGCTACTGTGCTAGATGTGGGATCTTTGCTCGAGAAGATTAATATGGCCTCCTGTACATGGTATATAGACACTGAATTGTCAAATGCATTCTCCTCCATCCCAATCAAGAAAGAGTATCAGAAAACAGGGCCAAGAACACTTCGCATTCATGTGGAATGGACAAGAATATACATTTACAGCTTTGCCCCAGGGCTAGATTAATGCCCTCTCTTTGTCATAATAGAATCAGATAAGATCTGACTGTACTTCCTGTAGAACATCATGTTATCAGGCAGAAGAAACAAGAAGGGGCTAACATACTAGAGGAGACACATGCAGTCCAGAGTACGGAAGACAAAATCTATGACGATGGAGGAATCAATCAGAGAAGCAGGGAGGGTAAGGAGCACCCAGGGGCAGTTTCTAAGTTTGCACCATCCCCCTGCCCCATCAACAGCGGTGTGGGTGGGGGGTGTGATTCACTTGCCAGCCTTGTCAAGAGTGGGTAGTGGGATGATTTGCTGGCCTGCTTTGTCTGGTGCCCCCTTGGACTTGCGACCTGGGGCCAATGCCCCCCTCTAAGCCCCCTTCGCTACGCCTCTTACTCTGGTAAAGTTTTAGGGATTTAGTTGGGTCAGGAGCATGCCAGGACAGCACTTCCGAAAGACAAACTGTTGCATCTTGCATCCTTAAACAGAAAGAAGCTAAATTCCTGGTAGGCCTGGTTGGCTTCTGGTAGCAATATATTCCATACCTAGGAAAGCTGCTCCAGCCCATATACTGAGTGACATGAAGACTGCCTGCTTTGAGTGGGGCCTGGAGCAGGAAAGAGACTGTAGTAAGTCATGGCTGCAGTACACTACTGGCTGGGCATATGATCTATGGTGTTGGAGGTGTTAGTGATGGGGAAAGATGCAGAGTGGCATTCTGTGAAGCCCCAGTAGGGCCATCATAACACAGTCCTCTGGGATTCTGAAGTGAGGTCCTGCCATCTGTAACAGAGACTTGTATGGCTTTGAAAGAGAGTTCCTGGTGTGTTACTGGGCCCTGAAAGAGACAGAATTCTTGACCATAAGACACCAAGTAACCATCCATCTGGAACTGTTCATTATGAGCTGGGTTCTGTCAGACCCACCATGTCATAAAGCAGGCCCAGCGGCAGTCCATAATGAGACTGAAATTGTGCATCAGGGATCAAGCTTAAGCAAGACCAGAAGTCATGACTTAACTGCATGAGCAGGTAGCCCAGATCCCCATATTATCCACCATGGTTACACCAGCACCGCCCCCTCAGATCATACTTTGAGCTGTATAGGGCTCCCATATATATAACCAGCTGAAGGACGAGGAAAAGGCACAACGTGTTGTACGGCAGGTTAGCTCATCATGTGAGTGCGAGTGGAAAATGGACAGTGGCAGCGTTACACTCAGAGTGGGAAGGGGTTTGGAAAACACTGGTGAGGGAAAATCATCCCAATGGACAATGCTCAGAGCGGTGCACCTGGTTACTGATTTGGTGTGGAGGGAGTGGTTGCCTGAAATGAAAATATACACATACTCATGGGTAGAAGCCAATAGTCTGATAAGCTGGTCAGTGATCTGGAAGGAAAAGGACTGAACAATTGGAAACAAGGAAGGTTGGAGTAAAGTAATGTGGATTAACACAGGGGAGTGAGCATAAGTGTGAAGATTTTTTGATGTGAATGTTAACAAACACCAGAAAATATCAATCACAGACGAGGCACGAAACAATCAAGCAGACAAAATGGCTAGGCCAGGTGACGTTAGCAGGTCTTTGAACTGACAAAGCGGACATGTGGACAAGTGGCCACAGGGGTGACGACGGAAGACGTGCGTGGGCCCAGCAGTGTGGCTTCTCATATACCTGGGCTGACTTAGCTATTGTTGCCTCTGAAACTTCAACGTGTCAGCAACAGAGATCAACCCTAAGCTCCCAATATGACGCCTTCTTCAAAGAGATGATTTTCAAGAGGTGATTTCCTTTGTGTTGGAGGATCAATGCACACCCAGTAATGTGGAAACACATTCAACATTTTCTTGAGAAATGTTGAAGTATTTTTAGTACCTTCAGTGACGGGTCATTTCCTGCTTTCAGCCTCATGCCAATTAAGTTACTGGGTGATCATAATCTTAGTTCAAACTGTAATCACCTTAATATAAAAAGAAGTCAGAATGTTAAAGTGGATATTCAGGAAAGGAAAGCAAACAAAGAAATAAACTCTGGTATCTGAAATCAACCGCAGCTGGGCCATTAAATCAGACAGTGCAGGCAAAACTGCTTAGCTTTGTATCAGGCATATAATATAATAATAAATATTTATTTATAATAGAATGCTAAAATATAATACTAAAACCAAAAAACCAAACTCTACCGTCAAGTCGATTCCAACTCATAGGAACCCTGTAGGATAGAGTAGAACTGCCCCACAGGGTTTCCAAGGAGCACCTGGTGGATTTGAACTGCCAACCTTTTGGTTAGCAGCTGTAGCTCTTAACCACTATGCCACCAGGGTTTCCCATATAATACTAGTTGCTCCAAAATGTTGGTTGAATAATTATCAGGAAGACCATTGGCCTGGATAAGTGCCTTTTACAAATATTGGAGCCTGAAAATTTAACATTGCGATGGGAATTGTTATAAAATATTGCATCTCACTTCCTGTCTTAAGGAGAGGATTTTACAATTTCAGTTTTTCGTAATAATTGTCTTAGTCATCTAGTGCTGCTATAACACCAATACCTCAAGTGGAAGGCTATAACAAAGAGAAATTTATTCTGTTACAATCTAGAAGCCTAGGAATCTGAATTCAGGGTGCCAGCTCCAGGGGAAGGCTTTCTCTCTCTGTTGGCTCTAGGGGAAGGTCCTTGTCATCAGTCTTCCCTGGTTGAGGAGCTTCTCAGTACAGGGACCCTGAGTCCAAAAAATGCACTATTTTCCTGGCTCTTGTTTCTCGGTGGTATGAGGTCCCCATGTCTCTCTGCTGGCTTCTCTCTTTTATATCTCAAAAGAGACTGATTTAAGACACAACCTAATCTTGTAGATTGAGTCCTGTCTCATTAACATAACTGCCTCTAATCCTGCCTCATTAACATCATAGAGCTAGGATTTACAACACATAGGAAAATCACATCAGATGACAAAATGGTGGACAATCACATAATACTGGGACTCATGGCCCAGCCAAATTGACACACATTTTTTGGGGACACAATTCAATCCACAGAAATAACTGTGTCAGCATACGGGCATCAAGCATCATCTAGAATTAACAATGACGCCCTCAGAGGCCGATGAGATGTATAAGCTGTGTTTGTCCTGTAACTTAATCTTTGCTGTCTCCTCATCTCTAGTTGGTGTGCTTGCTGCGTTATTCCTTGTAACCCCCTCCGTTCTGATTTCTTACAGATATCAGTGGATAGCAAAGTGTTACAGTCAAGCCTGAAAGGAATAGAAACTAGCGAAATCAAGGGGGATTTACTAAGAAGGCATTTGGCGTTCTCATGGCAACGAAGACTCTCTAAGCTTGTGGGAAACTGAGCTGGCGCCTGGAAAACCAACCATAACAAGGCTGTGTGTGTGTGTGTATGTTTGTGTGTGTATGTGTGTATGGATATGATCTCTTTCCCTCCTTCTCTCTTCATGTCTGTTCCATTCCCTTGCTTCGTTGTCAGTATGCACACGATTTAAAATGGTTGCTCTAGCCCGGGCTGAACTTTTTAGTTTAAATGCCAAATGCCATCTATGATGTCTCTCTGTTTTTTAGTACAAATTATCAAAAATGGGAATATAAAAAGTTCTCTAAATGGTCAGTAAATTGACTTTTTTTTTAAGATCACTCTTGGTCAGAGAAAGAGGAAGAAAGACATGAAGCATAGGGGTTCTGTGACCTAGGTCTGCCTCTATACCTGCTCTGTGTGGGTGGCAGTTCCCAGGAAGGAGCTGGGCAGAATTTGTAACATCTAGATTTGATTCTAAGTTAGAGATGGAAAAATATCTAGTTCTACTAAAAACTGCATAGTGCTTTTATTTCCACTCAGCATTATTTACATGTACAACAGCGTTTCAGCTTCAGATGGTAAGAAGAGAAAAGGGTAGGGTCAGAGTTCCTCATGCTTTTTTCCTTGACGTTTCTCATGGTGCTGTCTTCCCAGAATTGCGTGAAAACAGATTCCCATACTATTTCAGGGAACACTAACAGGTACAGACATATGATGCTTTCTTTTCTTTTTTTAAAGATCAGCTTATCTCAGACAGAATGGTTGATCAGCTCCAAGGATCATGGAAGTCCGTGTCTTGTGAAAATTTTGAAGAATACATGAAAGAACTGGGTGAGCCCCATTTCCTTGCACCTCATATCCAGTGAAAGGGGAGCATTGATAGCACAGAGCTTGGTCTGTAAGAAATCCGAATTAATTTTGAACCCCCTGATCGTTTTACTTAGAAGCAATAACTATTGATCTGGCACTTATTATAGATACTGTTGTATGCAAGTCTGGGTTGGGATTGAAATGGTTTCTGCCCTCAAATGATTTACCAGGGATTTACCCAGATAAGGCATGCATGTACCTTATACTAGACAGCAAATGATTTTAATACAAGGCTTAAACAAAAAGACAATTATTTGGAAAAATAATCATTTTGTAAACATGCTCTAAATGTTTAGAGGATCTTCAGAAAGATCTTATTTTCCAGCTTCTGGTGGCTTTCAGCGTTGTTTGTGGCCTCAGCACTCCGATCTCTGCTCCCATCGCCACATAGGGCCCATCTGGGTAAACCAGGATAATCTGTTCATTTTAAAATCCTTTCCTTAATACACATCTGCCAAGTCGCTTTGGCCATATCAGGTCACATTCATAGGTTCCAGGGAATAGCATGAGAATATCTTTGGGGACCGTTTTCAACATATAACATTGTGTGATCATGTTTCACGGTGTTGAGAGCTAATGTAATTTGTTCTACTGCATTTTAGACTTGTTTGGTGCCCATAATTTCTCCCATTTGTAACAGGAATATCTACCCTGTGTTTGTTCCACCATCGTCCTTTGGAAATGGATAACTTGTATTCTAGATTTCACAGGTTCACAGGAAAGGAATTTTACCCCGGAATGGAATACACCCAGATTCATACACATACTTGATTTAGTTGATTCGGAAGATGAGATTTTTGGACTTAGAGTTGATATAAGACTTTTAAGATGATGTGATAGGATGACTGTGTTTTGCACTTGGGAAGGACATGAATTTTGGAGGCCAGAGAGTGGAATTTTATAGATTGACTTGTGTCCCCCAAAAATGCGTGTTGTAAATCCTATCCCCTATACGTGTGGATGTAATCCCATCTAGGAATAGAGTTCTCTCTGTTATGTTAACGAGACTATGTCAGTTTAGGATGTGTCTGAAGGCAATCACTTTCTGAGATACAAAAGAGCAGATCACACCAAGAAGTATACAAGAATAAGGGATGTTTTTGGAAAATGCTATAACATATACAATTTTGAAACAATAACCAAAAAAAGTAAGTGTGGTTACATATGTAGTTATATATGCATATATATGTATAGGTAAGTACAAGTGTATATGTGTGCACTTGTAAAAGTGTATCTATATGCATATGTATATACACGTATATGTGTGCATGCATATATATTTATATATATAAAATAAAGCACATGGGGGAACAGTTATGGATATTTCTTAGACATAATGAAACACTTCACAGGATCGGCTTACCTGATTTGAAGGCTTAGGACCATAGTCTTGCAGGACAATTTGCTCAATTGGCGTAATATAGCTCATAAAGTTTATGTTCTACATCCTAGTTTGGTGAGTAGCATCTGGGGTCTTAAAAGCTTGTGAGTGGCCATCTAAGATACAACTATTGGTCTCCACCCATTCAGAGCAAAAGAGAAAGAAGGAAACCAAAGATTCAAAGAAAAAACTAGTCTATAGGACTAATAGCCTACATAAACTATGGCCTTACCGACCCGGAGGACAGAGAGCTAGATGGTGCCTGACTATCACACCAACTGTTCTGATCAGGGCCACAGTAGATGGATCCTGATAGAATGGGAGAAAAATATAGAACAGAACTCAAATTCTTTAAAAGCCCAGACATACTGGACCAGCTGAGACTAAAGGACCCCCTAGACGATTGCCCTGAGATACCCTTTAAACTTTGAACAGAAACTACTCCTTATGTAATGTACCTAATGGTTTCTGCAGAAAATATTCCTACTTGTACTGCACAAAGCTGTGCATGCAAGGATGTTCACTGAGGCATCATTTGTAATAAAAAAATGGAAACAAACTAAAAGTTCATCAATGGGGTGACTGATAAATTTAGGTATGTATATTTTATGGGAATTTTACTATATATATTCTATGGAATATTATGTAGCTATGAAAAAAATATATAGTTCTATATGTACTAACATGGTCTCCACATTATTGGGAAGTCACCAAGACATACAAGTAAGAGGAAAAAAAATGAATAATATAAATATATACAATATATAAATAGAATATAAATATAAAAACCCATTGTCGTCGAGTCAATTCTGACTCCTAGTGACCCTTTAGGATAGAGTAGAACTGCCCTATAGGGTTCCCAAGGCTGTAATCTTTATGGAAACAGACTGCCACATCTCCCTCCCACAGAGCTGCTGGTGGGTTTGAACTGACCTTCCAGTTAGATGCTGAACACTTAACCACCGAACCACCCCAGCTTCTAAATATAAATATAAACATACATATACAGATAATAAATGATATAATAAAATATAAATCTGGATTTTAAGCCCTGTATATGTGTACACATAAGGATCTAAGGCAAAAGATAAGGATCTGGAAGAATTCATGCCGAACGATTTTGCTTATATGTGAATGGGTGTATTTTTAAAACAAGGAGATGGTTCATAGCTTCAAGTTGATTTCAAAGAAGTCCATGAACAACAAAGTTAATAACTACTGGACTAGGAAAACAGGACAGCTATTAGACAAAAAGTGGGACTGGTGTTTTGTTTTACTGTAAAAATAAAAAAAAGTCTACTTTGCCATATAACAATGGAACCGCTAGCTTTAGATATTTGAATTCATGTAGCATTAAATCAGATTAACTCACAAGCCTCCCAGTTAACAAAGAATTATACAACTCATAGGCGTTCTTGGAGCCAACAACAGATTTAACTGTTGTGTCCTTTGATCTGATTTCTAGGAATAGGAAGAGTGAGCAGGAAACTGGGCTGTCTGGCAAAACCCACAGTGACCATCAGTGCAAACGGAGACGTGATCACTATAAAAACCAAAAGCATCTTTAAAAATCATGAGATCTCCTTTAAACTGGGAGAAGAGTTTGAGGAAACCAGACCAGGCGGCCATAAAACCAAGGTGAGGACTACCACCTTTCAGACAGATTTCATACAAACGTTAGTTGGAGATCATTTAGTTGGAGATCATTTTAAGGAAGAAAGCACACTATTATAGCGAATGTATCTAAAGTCTTTATTACAAGGAAAGTATTGGCCCAGGAGACAGAATGGGCCACATAAACCAGAGGCTTCATCAGCCTGAGACCAGAAGAACTAGATGGTGCCCGGCTACCACCAATGAACGTCCTGACAGGGAACACAACAGAGGGTCCCTGATGGAGCAGTAGAACGATGGGATGCAGAACTCAAATTCTAGTAAGAAGACCAGACTTAATGGT